TAAAGGAATAGGTACACAGCCTATATGAGCATTAGTACATCCAATCTATATATAAAAATTGTTTATTAACTTGGATATAAAATTAATTGTGTTGACCAAGAGCATAATGAATTTTGAGTATGATAATGAATAGGAGCTCCAAGATTTCTGATTATGTTATATTTATATTTGCTACTCTAAATCTTCATGAGTATCTATGTTGGTTAGTGTAGAGGATGTTTTATTATGAACTTAGGGTATAATTTGGTTATTGAGATTATAGAAGAAATTATTATTTAAGAATATATATAATGCAATATATTTTTGTAATAAATTAAAAATGTATTAAGTGCAATATAAATTTTAAATTTATCACACTTCCCTTAGAATAGAATTTAGTAATTTGATGAGACTAATTATGGCTCATTCTAATTATCAAATTTGAGTTAAGATATTGGGCCACTATTTGTTTCTATTTGAAAACATATTTTTTTAATGCAATGAATTTAATTCAATATTTCATGTATAATTTGGAGGTTGTATTAAATTGAATGTATTAACATTTAATTACATAAATCGATTTTAATATTCAATGAGTTTTTCAATTTACACATACAAATTTTGTGAATATTATTCAAGAGTATAAATTAATACTACTTAGGATTATATTGAATTAATGTTGTCCTCTTCTATTAACATATTCATCATAATATTCTACATAAGAATTATATGATATTAAAATATTTGATATAAAATTAATTATTTAAATATATTTTAACCACCGCGGTAATTTATACATGCTAAATTTTTATTTCAAATGAACAATTTTGTCCTGAATAAACTATTTACTTTATTTTTAAATAAACAGCTTGTTCTTGTAAAATCATCATATTTTAAACTTCCACAAACCGTAAGGATCACTACACAAATTGGAAAGTTAAGTAAAGTATTATATTTAAATTAACCTGTATGACTTTACAACAATCACATGAACAATTGGGAGTAATTTTTTCAAAACCACTCTGGTTCGCGTTGGGTGCGAGCACAGTTAGAGAAAATTCCACATCTCGGGTATTGAAATTCACATCTAAATATGACTCGCCTCTTCAGTGGTGCAAAGTAAGTGTGGGGTCCGAAGTCGTGGAATGACCTCGGCTGAATTCGAACACGAGAGATTACTTACCAGCCACCGAACTCTCAATTTGAAGGTGACGCATGTAGTCAGTTACCAACAACGTTAAAACCCGCCAGAAAACTGCTCAATTCCGCCAGGAAAAAGCCGCCGGGAATGTGTGATTTCTTAGATATTTATTCTTTATAAGATTTATATATATATATATAATATCCCAATATATAATATATATATATATATATATATATATATATATATATTATAATAATAATAATAATAACATAAAAAAAGTAAAAGCAATTGAGCATACGCTTAAAAAAATTTGGTCATATAAAATTGAAATTTTTTACATTTTTCTGTAGAATATAAGAAGAATTAATTGATTTTTATAAATATTTCTCTGAATAATTGATTGATTTTATTATTTTTTAAAGTAATTTTTTAGTATAAAAAATTTCTACTTTAATAAATTTGGTACTAAAATGTTGTTTTAAAAAACTATAAAAAAGTTGTTCCGAAAGAAGACTAAGGCTTCATTTGGGACGGTTTTCTTACTGCTTCTTGAAGCAGCTATTTAGTACAAAAATTATTTTATTTTCTACTAGAAAGCTGTTTCAAGAAGCAGTAAGAAAGCCGTCCCAAACGAAGCCTAAGGCTTAGTTTGGTACGACTTTTTTAATACTTCTTAAAACAGTTTTTTATTAAAAAACTTAACTTTTGTACTACAAAGCTATTTTAAGAAACAGTAAAAGAGCTATCTCCTACGAAATCTAAATCTTGTGTTATGAAGAGATAAGTTGCATAAAAATTTCGTTAAAGCAAATTTGATTGCTTGTAGTGAAAAACTATAGTTTGAAAAACCAAAAGCAAATTCTTCAAAAAAAAAAAAAAAAAAACTCAGCCTTAACCCTTATGAAATTACGTTAATTTCTCATAACAGGAAAGGAAAATCTCCTTGGCTTTTTCCCCATGAAGCATATCCATTTATTCAGTTAAAAAGCAAATCATGTGAGCTGTAAACTGGACACTTGTTACATAATTACATCCCTCAGTTCTAAGTATTTCAATGATTCTTATCTCTTTCTCTTTGCATATCAATATCTATTCATATTTTATACAGAATATATAATATACAAATATACATAAACATTCTCTCTCTTTCTCTCATTCTTTTCTTTATTGGTTTTCTTCTGTGGTGTTGGTGTTGGGTCATCTCCTCTGGACGGCCTCCACCTTATCTCCATCACTCTCTTTCTCTCTCCCTTGATAAAAAATTATTAATGGATAAAAATAGAAATAAAGGGAACGGCAGCAGCAGAATTTGAAGCAGAGAAGAAAAGGCATATCTGCACTACCCTTCAGTGCTCATCGGAACTTGAAGTCTCGCAAAAGGAAATTTGATAAGAACATCGCTGCTCTTTCTCTCTCTCTTTATTATCTCAATAATAGATGGAAGAGTGCACGTCGTTTGTCTTCCATGATTTTCACCGCTGGGAAGGGGAGGAATCGCTTTCATGTTGCCCAGTAAAGAAGAAGGACTAATGTTTCTTTGGGGCTGATGGCTTCTCCCAATCGTTGGAGAAATTCCTTTCACAGCACTCTTAACAATAACGGCTCACAGTTTTCCTCCTTAGTGAGTCCAGCCGGCTCGTGAGCCCGCTCAATGAATGGCTCGTGAGCTGAGTTTGATGAGCTAATGAGTCAAGTTTGTGCTAGCCTTAACTTGACTCGTAAGTTCATGAGTTGGCTTGTTTACGAAATATTAATATAAAATATACTTAAAATATATTATGATGCAATATTTTAAATACAAAGTTGATAAAAATATTTCAAAATTATATTACTTTTTTGTATATTGAGTAATTCTTTATTATTATTATAATTTCTCATTCTTTTGCATTTTTATTATAATTACTTAAATCATAACTATTATCTCTCTTTTGAGCCGGCTTGTGCGTCGGTTTAAACTCATAGAATAAAGCTCGAGCTGAAGCTCAAACTCGATAAATTAATCAAGCTCCAGCTCAAACTTAGGGTGACTTGAGCTCGACTTGACTCATTTATACCCCTTGTTGGAGTTTTGTGCTAAATTAATCAATTGAGCTCAAATTTGATTTGAATTTTTATAAAATAGATAATATCGATCATTCTCTTTCAAGTCATTATTATAAAAACCCGATAAAAAGGATAAAATTTTAAATAAAAATTACTTTAAACAAAAAAAATAAACTTTTAATAATTTTATACAAAAAATATTGAATTTTAAGTATATTTTATATTATTTTTTTTAAATGAACTGATTCACAAGTTGACAAGAATGCATGAGCTATTTAACAAGTTGAGCTTAAGCTAGCTCACGAGTCAGCTTGACTAATTACGCCTCTAATACATATTATTAAAATAATTAGTGGGCTTTTTTAATTATAAAAAATTAATCCTATATTTTATTTGATGAGTTCAACTGTTCAAGATTAGTAAAAGCATAAGATGGGTAGAGGTCAGAGCCCATAGATTCTGTTTGGTCTCTTACAATTGGCATTAATTGCTTCATAAACGTGGGATATTAACAAACAGTTCTGATGTCGGCAAGCATAAGTTGTGCAATTAGGAAACTAAAATCTCTTTCTGCAGAGGTCTCGTTTGCAAATTTCGAATTATCATATATTTATTTAATTTTGAGAAAGCACGAGTATCCAAACACCCATTTTTTATAAAAATAATTTGATTTTAAGGTAAAAAATTTACATTAGAATATTATAATGAAATCCGCATCAGCTTCATTGCTAAAAAATTTACATTAAATGTCATATATATATTATATATATTATATATATATTTATATAATATAATGAATATATTATAATATATATATATATACTTTTTTATTTTAAAATATTAACAGGAACTTCCAAAATTTTATTAAAATTAAAATGATATATTTATAGAATAATAGGGATATTTGTTTTATTTTATTTTAGTTGAGAGGATTAAAATTATGGGTGAAATGAGTCGAGTAGAGTATCTACTTAATCAGCCTAAGCTTGTTTAACACTAGCTAAGCTCAAACTTGACTCGTTCGAAAATTATTAGTCTTAAACTTGGCTTGATCACTCAAGCTCGACTCATTTACTCAAGCTTGTTAAAAAAGCTTGAGTTGACTCATGAATATCTAAAAATTTAATATATTATTAATTAAAATTACATTTTAAATATATTTTAATTTAAACAAACAGGTCAACAAACTTGCGAGCCGAGCCTAATTGACTTTGAGCTTGAATAATATGAACTCGTGCCTCAATAAACGCAACTCATAGGCTTATTAACAAATCAAGCTCACTTTATAGAAGCTCCGGCCCCTAAAATCTTACACAAGAACTTAAATTTGCTAAAAAAATGTGCATTAAATAACCCTATATTTCAATTTTCAAATGCACTTCTTTCATTATGAATATGCTAATAAAGTAACCTAATCCATTTCCATGAATATGTCAGTAGATAGAGTCATCGCACTAAGAAATCCAAAGCACCAAGTAAACATTAAGGGGAAAAAACTTCAAGGCTTCATTTCGGACTATTTTTTTATTGTTCTTAAAACAAAATTTTAATATAAAAATTTTAGGCTTTGTTTAGTACTAACTTTTTTATTGTTTTTTAAAACAATTTTAGTAAAAACAAATTTAATTTTTGTATTAAAACTCTGTTTTTAAAAACAGTAAAAAGACGTCTCAAACGAAGTATTAATTTTTATACTATAACTCTGTTTTAAAAAGCAATAAAAAAGTCATCCGAAACGAAGCCTAAGTAATCATAAAATTATAGCTGAAAGAATCAAATAAATTCATTTGGAGGAGAACTAGCTTCCCCTATATACCATGAAAAACACATTATATCAAGCAACCTTAATAAAACAGTTAAGATTTAAACTCCTTGTGATATTCAAATTGGAGGTAATAGGCATTTTACTCTATATCAAAGACAATTTTGGGTCCAGATCAATTGTATATCGATAGTCACAACAGTATCAACACAAAGACCAATTTCACAAGTAAACCTTAGGACTATGATTTCAGGGAAGGGGATTCTTTCTCTTTTACAATCAGCAATTTTAGGCTTTGTTTGGGACGGCTTTCTTATTACTTCTCAAAGCAACTTTTTAGTATAAAAATTTTCCTTTTTGTACTAAAAAGCCGCTTTAGGAAGCAGCAAAAAAGCTGTCCAAATGAAGCCTTAGAGAGCTTTCAGGTTTAGCCACCGCAGCAGGAACCACAAGCAGGAAGAGAACCTGGGAATTAAACATGAGAGAATCTCAGTTCATGGAGCATAAAACAGCCGATTCTTATTTTGATCAAGGTATTAGCATCTTACTATGGTCATTGGCTCGGAGATCGGCCAACGTACGAGGCCCGCGAGGTCCGCCGCCATATGGACCTTTACCAGGGCCACCACCACCACCTGGGCTCCCTCCCCCAGGTCCACCATCCCATTTCTTCCCAGCCCCTGAACCCTTCTTGTACTCATTTGTTTTGTCCATCTAATAGGAATAAGAATACTTCAAGTTAGAAGAAGAGCTTTTGATGACTCGGAAACAACATAGGCTTCATTTGGGACGGCTTTCTTACTACTTAGTAAAGCAATTTTCTAGTACAAAAATTTTATTTTATTTATAAAAAAGTTGCTTTAAGAAGCAGAAAGAAAGCCGTCCCAAACGAGACCATAATTAGAAATAAAAAAGATGCCCGCTATTGAGTGTGTACAGAAAACATGGTCGCGAAGAACACTCCGATAAAGTTAACAATGGCCCAGAAGAAATCAGATATTATACTCAAACGCCATATTGTTCTTTTGGGCTTCACGATTCCTGCAACAAAGAACAAATGTTGTTCAAGCCCGTGTAGAAAATCATATCAGACCTCAGTACCATGTAAACGGAATAAAAATATATAACCAATGCTGAATATTAAGAGGCAAGAAACGCTATAGAGTACCACATGAGGTGCTACAACTTATTTTGTGCAAATTTATATTGTAAGACTTCTATCCATATACCTAAATCCCTTTTTCTTTGAAATTCTTTGACATTAGCTTTATCCACCTACCTTATTAATGCAACTTCTACCCTTGATTGTGCAAACTAAGACTTCATTTGGGATGAATTTCTTAGTGCTTCTTAAAGAAGCTTTCTTGTAAAGCTGCTTTTGAAGTAGTAATAAAGCAGTCCCAAACGAAGCCTAAATCACTTCAATTATTCTTCACTATCTTATATATTTAATAGATGATACTTTCATCACCTTCCTAATATTTCTTAAACTATTATTTCTAACTTTTTCCAACATCCATCACATCCTCATTTAACCAAGTTCAATTTTATATGAATGTGTATTGCACCACTACTATCTATGCTGCATAACTACAGTGACAGACAACAATATGTTTTTTATGGCAATACAAAATTGTCGATTTTACAATATACCCTTAATCTTTTTCATCTAGATTTGAAATTGGAATGACTGGTTTTTTTTGTTAGCGGATTATGAGTTTCCGAATTGTAAATGGCCACAATTCATAGAATAAATTGTATTAGTGCACTAACAATTAAATAAACTTAAATGTTTTGAGTCAAGAAGAACTAGAAATTTTTTTTGTTATAGGCAATAAATCTGATAGTCATGCTTTATCAATGAATTATGATTTATTAGAAACTCACTTGTTTTATTTTTAATTTTTAAATGATTTAAGTTTTCTGAGAAATGTGTTTTAAAAAATTTCACATGGTAAAAAAGAGTAATGAAAGAGAGATAGGAGGAATTATAAACTCAAAAGAAAAAAAAATTAACTTTAAATTATAAAAAAAAAAAGTCATTCGGATGGGGGGGTGGGGTTACTCGTGAAGAAGAACTATCAAAAGCTATTTAGGGAGCGTAGACGTGTGTCCCCAAGATCCCCACTTTAGCTCTACATTCTGCTAAAGACATTCAAGTTCTAATTAGACATAACAAGCTTCACCTTGTTTTAACCTACAACAACAACAACAACAACATCAAGCCTTTATCCCACTATGTGGGGTCGGCTACATGAATCCTTTTTCTCCATTGTGTCCTATTAAAAGTCAAATTCTCATTTAAATCTAATAAAGAAAGGTCATTCATAATATTTTCTAACCAAGTCTTTTTAGGTCTACCCCTACCTTTCTTAACATAAGTCAAATCTAATACCTCTACTCTCCTAACCGGGTCATCGGAAGGCCGCCGTTTTATGTGACCAAACCATCTAAGGTGACTCTCTCTAATCTTATCTTCTACTGGAGCTACTCCAACCTTTTCACGTATATGCTCATTTCGTATCCTATCTCTAAGGGTAAAGCCACTCATCCACCTGAGCATCCTCATCTCTGCCACACTTAACTTAGTATTATGCTTCTCTTTTAATGGCCAACATTCGGCACCATAAAGCATTGCAGGCCTCACTACCATCTTATAGAATTTTCCCTTAAGTTTCAGGGGTACATTTCTATCACATAACAAGCCCGATGCATTCCTCCACTTCACCATCCAACTTGAATTCTGCTGATAATATCTCCATCTATTTCACCATCACTCTGAACAACAGATCCAAGATATCTAAAATGTGTACTCTTATTAATGACTTGATCGCCCAAAGTCACAATCCCCTCACTAGGTCTATTACTACTAAAATTACACTCCATATATTCCGTTTTAGATCTACTCAAGCGAAAACCTTTAGACTCTAAGGTTGACCTCCATAATTCAAGTTTACCTTCAACTCCCTCTCTAGTCTTATCAACAAGAAGAATATCATCAGCAAAAAGCATACACCAAGGTACATCCTCTTGCAAATGTCTAGTGAGAACATCCATGACTAAAGCAAAAAGATATGGGCTTAAGGCTGATCCTTGATGTAACCCAACCGAAATAGGAAAATACTTGGTCAATCCACTGTGTTTGAACACAAGTAATAGCTCCTGCATACATATCTTTAATGATTTGAATATAAGCATTATTGACTCCTTTCTTTTCAAGAACTCTCCATAGCACTTCTCTTGGAACTTTATCATATGCTTTTTCTAAATCAATAAATATCATATGTAGATCATCCTTATTTTCTCTATATTTCTCCATCAAACCTCTTAATAAATGTATGGCTTCCATAGTCGACCTACCCGGCATGAATCCAAATTGATTTTGAGAAACATCAGTATCACGCCGCAGCCTATGCTCCATAACTCTTTCCCATAGTTTTAAAGTATGACACATTAACTTAATACCTCTATAATTCGCACAATCTTGTGCATCACCTTTATTCTTAAAAATAGGAATTAACACACTCATTCTCCACTCATCTGGCATCTTTTTAGTCTTCAAAATAGTATTAAAAAGTTTAGTAAGCCATGAAATTCCTTCATCTCCTAAGCATTTCCACACCTCTATTGGAATATCATCAGGTCCAACAGCTTTTCCACCCTTCATTTTCTTTAAAGCCTCTCTAACTTCAGTTTTACTAATACGCCGATACACCTTGTTTTAACCTATTTAATTTTTTTTTTAATTTTCGCAAGAACAGTAATATGAAACATGACCAAAACTTTCCAATGAAATAAGATTCAATAAGTCATCTCTTCTGTTTTAATTTAAAAAAAAAAGAAAAAAGAAAAAAGAATGATAGGTGATAAACGTGAAGCAAATGGGTCAATTAATTTTAAATAATCACATACACAGGTGTAGTAGAACCTATGACTTCTATCACAAGTCAAGTAATTTGTGTTTGAAAGCAAAATCACAAAATCCCATTTAAAATCCATACTCAAGTATTATCAAGGGAAAGAATCTGGATAAAATCTATAGAGAACTACATGCACATGAGCTCCACAAACCCATAGGGAAATGAAGACACGGATAGATGATGATCATTGTCATGTAATGCAATGCAAAGACTTAATCCAAAAGTTCAAACTCAAAACTAATAATCGAGATATATATACCTCAGAGTGAAATCGAAAAGGGAGGTCGGTGGCTACACTGACAAGCTGTGGCTTCTGGAGAGGTGACCGGCTAGAGGTATTCGAATAGAGGGCTATTTGTGTGGGAATCGAGCAGAGGAGTTCACGCACAGGTATTGTTCAGTGGCTGTGTTGGATGAAGGCTACAGCTGCTCAAGCTAGGTGAAATCAAGCAGGGGGATCGGTCAAGCAACTGATGGGATCGGCGCCTGGAGCGAATGGAGAAGCTGGAAGGGGAGGAGGCTAGCAGCCAATGTGGCTGGATGGCGGCAGGCCGTCGGAGAAACCAACGGGAATGAACAACAACAGGTTGGACGAGACTGGGTCGAACGAGCGTAGGTTGGAGTTGGTGGTAGTTTGCATGAGAGAGGGTTGTGGTTAGCCAGATAGCTAGTATGTGAGCTGGAGTTGATAGGTGTTGGAATCGTGTGTGCCTAGGCACGGAAGGCTTCGACTGGGAGTAGGGAGGCTGACCTATTTGTGCGAACAACAGAGAGGATCTCATTTGAGCTAAGAGCCCTCTCTACAATCCTTTATGCACATAATTCTCAATCTCGGCCCTATACTTAGCTTGTTTTTGTCAAGTGTGAAGAGAATGTCCAATCCATGGCTATCTAGCCATTGGATTGGAAGTTCATGCTTAGATGATCCTCTAGGATCAAATTGAGTAAGATCTATTGGTTGGATTCTCTAGATCAAGTGAAAATTCACATATAACTGGGAAGCTGAGCAAGAGGTTGAAAAATAAATCATATATGTAAATTTTGATTTGAATTGGAGAGATGGTTGTGATTGAGTCCAACCGGATCCAGTGTATCCCTTCTGGAATTTTGGGTTGAGATCTCACAGTCGATTTGTGAAGGCTAGGATCATATATGGCTAGGATAATATCTGTACTATTTGTGAAGGCCCACTCCCATTAAAATGTCTAATCATATGGTACTTTTTTTTAAAAATGCATGCATTATTAGCCCGATGGATAGTGTAAATCTAGATAAAGAATATTTAACTTATAGAAATAATGCTTTAGGTCTAGGTGATTGTGCTAAAGATATTATCAATTGCAATTTTGGGAGTGGAGGCATGTACCCCCAGGATCCCCACTTTAGCTCCACATTGTGCAGAAGTATACTCTCTTTTTTCTTCATAATTTTTTGACAGTTTAATTTATCTACATTCTACCCACCTAATTTATATTAATACATTCTCCACTCTTTATTATAAACACAAAAATCAATTAAAATTATTTTTCCAATACTTTACACCTTCAATCAATACTAATCCCACCAAAACCAAATATAAAAATTTCTCAAACTATCATTTCTAATTTTGTCAAATATCTATCTAAACATCATTATTTCTAAAGCTCAACTTATTTATCAATGACATTTTAACAAACCACTTAGATCATTTTAACATAACTTATCTAATAATAATTTTATTAAATTTATTATATACAGTCCGTAATATTCTCTTATCATGTATCCATTTTTAAATATTTAGCTTTAGCTATAGAAATTATATTTTAATTTATATTACTATTTTTTTATAAAACAGATTCAAAATACTTAAACATATCATATCTAAGTAGTGTTTTATCATCTAATAATATTACTTCATAACTATCTGTAGTGCACCTTATTAAAATTGTAGATCATGAGCTCATCTTGGTAAAAAGTTTATTGAAATAAATAGAAAGTTTGAACGAAGGAGAAAATATTTAGAAATAGTGCAATACATCTTTATTCCTCAATGCATATCAAAATATTTCTCACGATAATCAATCAGGACTTCCCAAGATGAATAAAATCATATGAAATTATATTTACATTAATTTCCTTAGC